TACAAGCCCCTTCCGGCTCACGATCTACCGAGACTACCCGTGAACGTGCCGTTTTTTGAAGGTGAACCCTTCTTCGCGCTTTGCGGGCCGTGTGCCGTGTCAAAGATGTTCCAAGCTTTTCAATTTTTAAAGTTTTTCCTTCAGTTTGTTGTATGTGCTGGGTGCTGTATTTCTGGGTTTTGGTGGCAAAGGGCATGAAAGGGCGTTGTTTGTCACGTTTCTGTCATCCTCAGGCCACGCCACGAAGAATACGGGGGGGCAAATAGCCTCTGCCTGCAGAACGGTTCACATGGGACGCTTCTGGGTGGATATGGCAGGCGCCCATATGATGGGACTGCCAGGAGCGGCATACACACGCAAAGATAGCCAAAGCGATTCGCTTCATGCCCTTGTTTGCTCGCCATGGTACTACACACCCACTCCAGATGGAGACCTTGCTCAAATGAAAGTGTGTTGGTCCAGCAAAGGATCACTCTTATGGAGTACCTGCACCGCTCTGTGCTTCGCTCCCACTATGCACAGGTCTATGACCTTGATGGAACGCCTGGAGTGCTCAGTAGCAGGCTTCGTGTGCTGGGATCTCTTTCAATTGCTTTCGGCAAAGCTGGAGTCAGACCGGAGCAATCGCGTGGGCGCATTCGGAATGGCACCGGTCACGCTCATGAACCTCCAAAATGTGAGCTTGGCAACCATTGTCACGCTGGTCCACCGAGAGGTAGCCAGGTTGTTGTCAAAAAGTTTTGTGGTGAAATTGTTCTTAGTTCTTGTATGTTCTTGTGTGTTCTTATATATATATGCTCTTATGATGTCTATGAAATGGCCCAACCAATCCACCCCCAGTACCATAAACATGGCCACCAATTTATGATGGGCAAGGGGTTAAGCAGTGTCATTTTATAGTGGCTTACTTGAGCTACTTGGGGCTTTGGTGTTTGTTTCTTATTTGATTTTATTCCTGAGGAAGACTTTGTTCCGTGGAAAAACGGATGGGGACGGGCATCAGAAATTAGCGTCGAACAGCGGTTCGGGTGTCCTCGCATGAGCCGCACAAATGCTGAGCTGAGCGTTGAATCCTTTTGCAGAACCAGTGCAATGCAATCGTTGAAAGATGCCGCCAAGTATGCAGCCTGCGTGAACTCAACAAAAGCCAGGGAGGGAACGATCACTGAGAAGATGCGCCGAAGCAGCATTCAGAAGGCAAACCAAAACTAAACGTACAACTTGAACTTGTTTTCAAGGTTGCCTTTTACATCCTTTTATATTTTTATATGTGTTTATTGTTTGTAGATTTTGATTTTTTGTGTTCGAATATGTTCAAAAATGTTGTTTATGTAATTTTTTAAATGTCTATAGGACGTTCTATGCATTTCTTGGCTTAGGTTCCAGAAGGCATCTGCTCGCGCTTATCAGTCAGCGCTAGACCTGGCTGCGTGGACAAGTGGCTTTGACGTCAAGAGCTTGAAACAGTACTATGAACAGAGCTGCAGTGTGGAGTGGTTTGAGACCACGCTACAGGCTTGCCCAGAGTTTGATGACGGCGAGGGCGATGATGAAGAGCAGGAAGAGCGCAACATAGACACGTCACGGAAACCTGCAATGATTTTTGAATATTTTTGGTGTTCTTTTGTATTCTTTCAATTTGGGGTACCTAGTGTAACATAGTAACAGACTACGTCCTAATGATTCTTAGTGCAGCCCATGTGATGTCCATGTAAGGACATTGCCATCGGCAGCATCTGGCCTTCCAGCTCTTATGAAAGGAATTGCACAGCTCGCACAGCCAGAAGAGGATACTGATACTGTTCACGTCAGTGTTGAATCGGACAGCCACAAGATTGACTTGGCACGCCTGGATGCAGACGAGCAGGCTGAAGTGCGCAAGGTGATGGATGAACCAGCAGATGAAGCAGCTGGCGCGAAGGATGACTTGCGCCAAGGCTGCCCACATACGTTGGCAGAAGCGATGTGTCTTGCTCTGAATTGCATTCTATGTTTTTTTTGGCGGGGTGGGGGAGGGGGGGCCAAGTCTTTGTCACCCATTGGATCCCATTGGCGTGCTCTAGCATTGCGGAGGTGACCGCTGGAACGCGTTGCTGCGCTTCTGCATTTATCTTCGTTCAGGTCCTGAAGGATGCGATGGCAAGTGGATCACGAGGAGGAGGCGCCGCAGAGCTTTGAACTGGCGCCAGCACAATTTGCATGAGATAGCCCAGGCTGCGCTGAGACAAAACCCCACTCAAAGACAAGGAGCAAGGAGCTCGAGGTTTGCCAGGTGGATAGAGCAAGGGGAACTCCAGAGGCAGAAGGTATCGTTGGATCTTCAGCAACCTCAACAGCTAGCGTGGCTCAGAAAATTGGTTTAAGGTTGTTGATGCCTTTTGTATGGTTTTGTAATGTTTTGTATATACAGCAAATGTTGTTTCACAATGTTGCCGCTGAAAACAATTGAAATATATTGAAAAAACTAAATTGGACTGATGAGGTCTGGCAACATTGCCATCATTGTTCGCAGCGATGAGAGTATGTTCCTTGGATTGGTGCTCTCTGTCTGGAAGGGTGGCAAGAAGAAGACGCTTTGCGCTAGCGCTTGTCCACTGGAAGGGTGTCATTGTTTTCGCGCTGTCCAGTTGACTCAGGTTGAGGAGGGGTGACTTCAAATGTTTTTCACTCGGTCGTTTCCTGACAAACACTCATTGGACTCAGGGCGTTCAGATGTGTTCAGTCGACTGTTTTAATATGATTTTAAGGAAATGTAAATGAAATAGACATAGCATGACGTAGTTTTTCACGTTTGTTCTATGTTTTTTCTGCTCATGATATGTTTCCTTTGCAGGGAAGTGCTGCTGAGTTCACTTGCAATGCAAGCAGCGTTTGCGATATCTACCCGTTCGATGCTCTGCTGACTGTGCTGGACTGTGAGCCACAAAGCGACCCGGAATAATCATATAGATACATTATGATACATTTCATATCATTTCATTATGAGTCAATCTTTTCAAGTATATTCATCTGTATCATTTTGTATCTGTACATATTTACAGATGTGATGTATGAGCCGTGCGTTCTATAAAATGCCAGGGCTTGTCCCCCAGGTGTTCTATAGAAAGACTGTCCTCACATTTTACACAGCAAACCATTGGGGAATTTGAGGAATGAAAACACAATGTCACAATATGAATGGCTGGGGGTAGGGTCGTGTCATTTCATAGACTGACAGACTTGCAAGTGTGACCTGCCATTAAACAGAATAGTAAATTGTAGATTTAAGTTGTTTAAGTAGCATCTGCACTATGCTACTTTCAGGCAAGAGACCTCCAGAGCAGCTCATTGATGCCTTCTTCGTTGAGCTGACGGCACCCTCTATGCTGGCTGCGCAGGACGCGCGGGGGCAGCAGGCCAGTGGTTGGCGCACTGGCGGGTTGACTTCAACCAGGATTCGTCGCCGAAGGATCTTCAAGGCTGCTGCCCGGGCTGTCCGGGCAGTCAAGAGCAAAGATCAGAAGGAAACCAAGAAGGCAGAGTCTGGAAACAAGAAGGTGCTGAAAGCCAGAGGAAAGCTGAAGACGGCCAAGCCGCTGATTGAAGCGATCCCGGCCAACTTCCGAAGATCTGCGCGAGGAAATGAGCTCATCAAGCAAGAGATGGAGTCTCTTTTGGCGCTAGACAAAGTCAAGAACCAGAAGCATCCTGCATTCGATAGTTCTTCTGGACTTTGCCGCTTGAAGTCTCTTGCAATGTCTGGATCGTTCTATGATGTTCTATGTCTTTTTCATTTTTTGTTCTTGTCATATGTAATTATTTGTATGTTTTTGTATTTGAGCAGGTTTGCGCACAATCTTTCTGTATTTTTCAAATCTGAGGATACCAAGTGCGGCCGGCAAGACATGGGCCATGGTTTTGGAGGCCTCTCCTTCTTTCTTCAACAGCAGGTATGAGTGCCGCAGCCGCGAGCTGTGGGGTGACCGTGTCAATGGCCATCTTCAAACAATCCGGAAGCAATTGCTGCGCGACCCAACAGTTCGCTCGGCATGGTTGCGCACTTTGAAGGAGATTTGCGAGATGCTGTGAGGTGCCAGGAGAGATCCGGGGAGGTTTCCATAGTGTGTAGCCGAGGGCTCCGCACGCTGAGGAATATTTGTTAAAGTTTGAGATGATTTTGAGGATGTGCCCAATCTGGAGGCCGTTCTCTTGAGACTCTGTTGCCATAATTTGTCCAAATAAATTTCAATGACACGCATTGCGCAGCCTGTTCCACAGGTTCCCAGACATGTTTATCATCTAGCTGAAAGTATCTCAAGTTGTGTGTTTTGGTTTGTGTATCTTTGCTGTTTGTGTGAAAACATTCAAAAAATCTGTTGGGGTTAGTTGGCGGGACTGAAGCAGGAACTTTTGGCTGAGAACACTGGGGACACAAACCAGAGAGAAGCGAGAAACATAAGATGAAAACAGTTGACGTGCTCTGTGCTTGTGATGTCATGTCGCTTTGCAATTCTTGTTTCAGATTTGTCATGGCCTCAGGGGAAGGAACATGAGGTGCAAATAGGGCGTGCCAGGTAGGGGATTCCAACGTCAGGCGGAGTCATTTTAATAAATTCCATGGTATTTCAGGGTTAGGTCAGGCAGGGTCATTTCATAGAGAACATATATGAAATATGATGGTCTGGGGGTTGAGTCCACCAATTCATATTATATAAAATGACTTGCAGGACCCCCCCCCAGCAGAATTGTCATGGCCATCTTTGAAGCGTCCTGTAACTCCCACTGGCCCTGCGTTCAACTCAGAGGCGGCAGGAGGACCCTGGCATCATCATCGCAAAAATGCAGGGTGGAACCAAACGACTCCCCGCTTATGGGTGGGGATTTATTTGTTCGTCAAAGTCCAATCCTAAATCGACTTTGAGACGAAGGTGCTAAGCCAAGCTGTAGTGAAAGAACCAATGAAAAGAGTGCTTATAGTACCTTTGGTGGCATGCCTGTCCCTTTACCCTGCCGCCATTCAGGCCGGAATTTCTACAGAGAGCCTTGCCTAGGACTTTCAAGGCTTTTATTTGCTAATGATGACGGTCCTTGTTACTCTTAGCGGCCAAAGTTCAGCAAGACTGTGGAAAGGTGTGACATGCGGTAAAAGGCATGAGCTGGACTTAACTTAATGATTCTGCATGATTGTGCCTCGAAGCCTTGCCAATGCAAACACATCAGATTGAAAGTGCTTGAAGTGTTCTTGTATGATTCGGATTAGAGGCTGAATTCTACTCCTGAGATGTTGATTTGGAGAGAAAGCGGTGTAGGCCCTTGTGGGAAGGATGGGGCAGCACATGATTTTAGTGCAAAGAACCTGGCAGAATCATATGAACTCAAGAAACGTCCTCATTATGCATCAGTTTCGCAAGGCCTGTGTTTGTTTGCATGCGTATATCGATGAGAAACATGGATTGAACCAAACGGCAAATGTTCGTTCCCCACCCTTCCCATCTCGTTGAGTTGAAGTCCACCTTAAAGGATCCATCAGTATTGAGACTTTCCTACTTCGATTTACTTCCTACAAGTTTCAGGTTTTCTGAGATACTGGGACCGGATCTGAAGCTGTGGGTAAGAGACTTGCGTAGTGTAGTGCAGAAAGATAGGGCGCGCATGAATCTCAAATGATTGTACATGGGGCTCTGGCAGACACAGCTTTTATACCCCAATGCTTGTGCCAAACTACGTACAGTACTTCATCCTACCACTTTTAGCATGGTACAGCCCCACAAGTAGCACCCAGTAGTGTTGATAACCTGTTTGCAAACGTGCACTGTCATTTGACAACTCAGGAGCTTCTCCGGTGGCCCAACCGCTACCGTGACTACTTCTGTTGCCAGCGACCGGTGGATGCCACCCAGGCGTCGGGCGGAATCTGGCAAAATGCACGGCACGAGGTGTGGGATCTGACAAGGCGCGACGAGGTTTGGGACTTCGCTTGTTTGCTGCAAAGAGGCCATCGCTATTAGGTTGGAGACCATCGCTTTTATTTATGCTTGTTTGCTGCAACAGCTAAGGATCCATGAGGTCCCGTCGGTCCATGGTTTGTTGAAGCCACAAGTCAAGACGCAGGGTGTCCCAGAGTCCCAGAGTCACATTGTTTGAGACCTATTACCGGCTTTCCAACTCTTTGACTAATTCGGAAAAATTGCCATGAACCGTTAACCCCGTCAGCTAGTTCACAGCTTGCAGTGATTTCGACAAACATGTCTTACAGCAAGGGTGTCATGTTGCAGATATGGCCGCAATTCGGTCTGGGACACTGGGGGCAAGTAGGCATTTTTTTTTTGAAATAGTGGATGCCGGTGAATGCGTGTTCTGCAGGCTCCCTGAGGAAACAGTACGACATTTGATCCGCTCCTTTCGGGAAGTGCTGGAGATGAAGGGACAATCATTTCGAGGATTGATGCGCAAATCCTTCAGAGCTGAATTCAAGGAGCTTGGCAGCAAGCCGACACCGTTAACAGCAAGATGGTGAGGAAAGGGACCATATATACCCGTTTGATCCCAATAGTATGACACGTAAATTGCTCGTTTATACTCCACACTTGCAACTGAGGTGCAAGATGTCGGTTCAAACAAACCACCCAAAAGAATCCAAAATTTGATGGAGTTGGCAAGTTGGCTATGAGTCACACATTTGATTGTTCAAGATGAGGCCAGAAATCCTGGCGAACCAATGCCTTTGTCACCACTGGTGGCAATTAGCACCCTGCCAGACATTTGGATGAGTCATGCGTCACTGATCCTCCAATTTGATTGAGAAGCCGCACTCTCCAACAAAAACAAGTATATAAGTAGTGAGAAGGGCAATATTTGACTTTTGTTTGGCTGGAGGTGCTATGCTTTGCCGTGGCCATGCTTGTCATCACATAACCATTCATGTCTTCAAGAGCGGAGGTTCACTGAACCACGGGAACATGAAGGTGGCATTCCCTGCCGCTCTAGGGGGCATCTAGTCTATATCTATATATTCTATACTGGCTTTTATAAAGTCAGCACTAGAATCACTAGAACAAAAACACCTTCCACAAGCTGATTTGCAGCTCATGGACTGGACTGCACAAATCAATAGGATAAATCCTGTAAAGTCTCCTGTAATCAGGTAAGATCCTGCAAGGGCATGATGTACGCACCCATGTATATATTCAAATCCTGCAGCACTGCACATGTTTGTATCATGTGTGTGTTGTAGGTTTCCCCTCATGTTTTGCAAAAACTTGACTGGTCAAGCTGCCTGGCACTTCAGGCTATGCCTCTGCCGGTGGTTCCTACGCTGCCATGACCCATGGCCAGCATGGCCAGCCGGT